TAGCTCTAGGTAGCAGGCCGTGATTCTTTTGTTCTTTTTCATGCCTTTTTTTCTAACTTTGTTTCCTCAATAAGAGTGAGTTTTTGAAGAAAATTTGTTTAAATAAAATGTAATTAGAAAGTGCGTCACACTGTTAGCATTGTCTCCAGGAAATAAATAATATTAACCTCAACCCCAACAATGTTTTAGCTTTTCCTGCTTTAATTCTTATTATTTGTAAATCCATTCTATGATAAAACACATCAATCATTATTACACAGGCCTATGATGTTCTACTTGTATGTCACAAGTCCCGCCGTAGGCGTTAAGGCGGAGTCAGTGGTTATTCTCTGTCGTGTTGATTTAGTTACAATGAATGCACAAAAGGTTTTACTTGAGCTTAGCCTGGAGGAAGAAATACCCTCACGCGTCATGCGCATAAGGTGTATTACAAGAGCCACTGTAATACGACACTTGTTGGGAGCAGTGGTGTAAAGTGTTACATTTCCAACAGGGTTTCACTATAATAGAAAAAAAAGGGCTCTGATAAGCCAAACTAAGGAGGGGGCATCGAAATCATGTAAGAAACTCCCCCTGACTGTGTTAAGATGTGCACGTGTAAAATGCAAATCGTTCGCGTACCATCAGACAACCACATGGCGTGATAACATAATAAAATTGTTTTTCGTGACAATGAGGGCGCTGCTGCAGGTAATTTTGGAGGTTCATTTTGGCTCTTATCTGTAGAAAATGTTAACCCAAAGTTCGCTCATTGAACGGAAACAATGAACAACTTTTATGCAGAAATATCTGCAACTATGGGGTTTCTGTCTTGATACTACAATTCAGCTTGTAGATACTGCGTTTAGACTTTAAACTTGTATCAGCAGAACGGTACCAAAATACAGCCTCAATATATGTTTCTAAGAAACCGTTTTTCTGCAACTTTGCACTCTTCTTCAGTGTATGAAAATCTTTGACATTCCTATTTGGTAAATTACAATGGAAAATGCACTTTTTTTAATTTGTAAACTTATGCAAGCTTTTGGACAACTGAGGCTGCTGCCATTATGATGTCATCAAGGGAAGACAAACACGTAGTTCAGTTCAAAGGTTTCTGTTTAAATTGTGAACCCAGAATTTATTTTCTGAAAACATTTATGAGAATTGACGTTTGCTTATTGTTAAGCATATAAACAACAAAGAATCTGCAAAGAATGAAAAGAAAGTCCAGCAACTTCTACAAATAAGCAGAACTTTTTTGTGTAAACCAATGTAGCATTGAGGGCTTTGAATGGATATGACATCAAGTTTTGCATATGAATATGGACATACTCATTAGCCTAAAAACCAAAAAAGCAGTAGAATTCTTCCAAATTACCCGCTACCGGTCCCTACTTACGGATGACTTCTGTGAGACGTCTGGAGACTACGTACAGGACAGGAACCAGTCTAGGAATAATAACCATAATGAGATACCGTACACGATATGGGGCCGANNCAGGAGGCTGTCTTTTCGCAGCATTCGTTGGTAAGATATACATAGCAGAGTCTCTTTACTGTTCGTTTCTGTTCCCGCTTGAGTTACTTCTCGATAACCCGCTCATGGCTGTTTCTTTGTAGAGCAAGGATCAGTCGCTCAGACGGTGCTAGCCGGCCATGGTAAGAAAATTTGGTACAGCGGGCGCCCTCAGCGTTTCAGATTTGTACGTAGTCGAACTCCTACCTACTCAGATTGGGTAAATTAGCTCCTAAACTGAAGATACTTTTTTTTTTCAATACAAGGCTGGATTCACGGTTGCCGCATCCTAAATTGTGAGTACTTTTGTGCTGGGCATTAATGCATTAATAAATTTAACCACTTCCAAAGTAACCAACAAAAATGTCCAGCTAACGAATAAACGAACCGACAGAGTGACCGTCACCGACTTAGCTCATGCTACAATAAGAAGCGGCAAAACCTCGGACTTGCATATTTGATTCAGGAAACAGCAGCCATACCCTCCTATGTACATATATGTCCACTATCGTCAGTTATATATTTTTCTACCTAAAGGACGTCGGCTCTGGTTAAATTGGTATGTGGTTCGATCTGGGAACTACGTTACCTCCCTACATGACACTTATCCAGGACTTCTGAACCCGGCTACCCCGTGCTCATCTTTGGGATTCTTAAGATCTCGGCAGCCATACTCATAGGGGACTTCATGCCAGAGACCATGGGTAGAGCCATCCCAACTACCATCGAGGATAGAGAAAACTACACTAAAAGGTAAACCCTTCGGCCACCTGTGGTCCGTTTATGCTTTGCAATCCTGTTCTATTTCAACGGACTCTCTAAATTCAGATACTCTGAAGATGCGTCTATAGAATGGCGCCCTCAGGAAGTTACTATTTCGCTTGCTTTGAGACCAAAATTGCCTTTCCCTCATTGCCCCCCCCCGCTTCCTTTTTCGGGGTGGAAGTGGGTCATGATCCGCCCTGGCATATGATTTGACACATAAAATGGCTACGCCCGAAAGTTCATCCAAATCCAAGTGTCCGGGGGGGACATGCATTCATTTAGGACTGCAGCATGCTACAGAACTCGGACAGAACCGTGGGTTATGAAGAGCCATTGGCGAGGAGCCTATCTGAACCTAGATCAAGAACTTTTTGCTGAGGAGTCCAAAAAATTTCGCCGGGTTTTAAACTCCAGAGACCTCACATCTTGCAAACATGGATACTCTTGCCATAACTCGTCTGTCATCAAGGATCACAATGGCGTATGCAGCTTTGGGTGTGGGGGGGGCAAATCAAAAGCGAATGCGGCTTCGGGCTTAGTCAACATAATGTTGTGGGAGAAAAAATCAAAAGCCTTTACTCATGGTCCTGATATCCTTGCTTTTATTTGCTGGTGTCGTTTTCTTAAGGCTTGGGCGCTAATATTTAGTAAATAAATAAATGTACTGATTACTTTCTTTCCTACCCACCTATAATGTATCATTTGCACAAAAAACAAACCTCCGTTGGGGGTAGCTGGATAGTCTCCTGTGCTTGTGGTTTTATGTTCATCTTCGAGGTTAACTCGTCTCTATTTGTGTATCTTGCACGCTGACCACAACATATGGATGGCCTTGCTGAAAAGGGTGGTGCGAAGCTAGGTCTAGACTTGGTATCGGTGGACGTACAGGTGATCATTAAGAGAAAAAACTTCACAGCATCAACAGTGACGGAGCTCAGTGTATGGACGAAGAACACACAGACCTTTAAAATCAAGAGAGACGTTATTGGCACAAACGGTTTGTATATTTTGATGTACATGTTTTGATCTCTTGTATGTGTTCTGTCCATTTGAAGCGATAACGGGGGCTGATCCAGAACCACATTTTAGGAGGGGGTTCACGTAACCTCTTGGAGGGAGGCTACATTCTGGACTTTTCATACACTTTTAGAAAGAACAGAAATAAATCAGGACAAAAGTCTCTTTTTTGTTGTTTTAAAAATATGTTGCACTTGGAGATAATAGCACCCACTGGCCCCCTGGATCCGCCCTTGACTGGAAATTATTATTGTATACGAAGATTCTTGATTACGGTATTGCACAAGTTTACTAGTCATGAACGTGTTTAATAGTTTTCTTTTAGTCGTACAGAATATCCTGGAGAACAGTTTTTTTAGAATCGAATGTGATTTTAAATATAATACAAAATAACGTTATGAGTGGCCATTTTAAACCACGCTAATTCAGGTGTAAAGTACCAAAAGTGAACCCATCAATTTGCGTGTTGTACCGAGTATAACATTTAATACAGACACAATGCAAGACGACTGTCTTGCTGAACAACCAAAAGGTTGATATGATCATAACACCAGCCTCAACTGGTATGCCGCAATTACTATTACTACTGATTTTTTCTCCGGTGGGGGGCAAACCACTTTTTCAGAGGGAAATTCTGGTAGGGCAAAGCACACAGCTACGGTAGATAATTTCCACCCCTTTCATCTCTCTTTTTAAAAATGTCTTTTGCCTTCTCTTTTTTTTTCCTGTTTGAATTTTCAATTTTTATCAAAGGAACCCGTTTACTCACCCCCTTCGGGACGCCCACGCCGACAGGACAAAGAAAATATCTTGACTGTTTGAACTGCCTGATGACGTGCAATAACACTCTACAACTACGGAGCATTCTCGCACTGCCAAGGGAGGGAACCCAACTTTAACTATAATGGGACATAACAATGCTAGCATCAGCGACAACATACGTTAACCAGATATAGATAATGAGCTAAAAAACCAAGCTTTATCGTGGATTTTGGCCGTGCGACAAGAAGAAGCCTACAGGCCCGTGACATGCAACAACTCTTTACAACACTTCAACTGAATATTCTGTGTCTTGATCGGCCGAGACCCAGTCACATGGTATATGTAATTTTTGCCATCTTGTTTTTCACGGCCAAAAGAGCTGTTCCTGTAGCAACCAAAAAACATACCCAAAGCAACCAAAGAGCTATGCGCATGACCACCGGTGCTGTGCGCAAGAGCATACTGGTGTGCGTGTTGCGTGCATTCAGAAGTGCTAGCGCTATGGGCCTCCAGATTTGAAAAGAAATGGCGCTATTTTCCTCAGCAACGGCCAAGTTTCAATCTCAGTCTCACTTTATTTCCACGTACGGCAAAATACTGGATATATAGCGTATAACTGAAGAAAAAATATTAATAATACATATGTGGAGGAAGCAAAGCCTGTCGAGAATGGGAACTCTTTAAACAGATCAATAATTTACATAAATAAGAGATTTTTTAAAATCATTAATAGTAGGAGTGACGACTATATAGTTAACTATAGTAGGCCTAACACCGCCCGTCTTACCTTTGATTCAATTACTTACGCATGTACCACTTTCCCAGTTGGAATGACCGTCGTTGTCACGGCGATCGGGGCTGTGGATATGTATAGATACGAGACTCGTGATCAGTTTGAGCAACAGACCTGTCTCGTAGGCAGACTGATAGCCGTGCTATACTTGGTATGTAACTAAAACTAGTGTACAAGACACTGCCCGTCGATCGTCGACCCACTTCATCATCCAGTCACGATTAATGAAATTTCGGCACTCGATCTCAACCTCTTGGAGCACCTTGGCAAGTTAAGCTCATTTCAAAATCCGTTCAGCCAGCAGTGCACATCTTATTCCTCCATGCCTTGTGCTACTACTATAATGGACCGAAGCAGTTTGGCTGTTCTTGCTGTCTGTCTTCACCTTGCACATGGTGCCCACTTGCCGCCTGAAGTCTGCTCGATGTACGCCAAGAAGGGAGATGTGTACATCGGAGGTGTATTCTCCCTTCATGGGGATGCTAAGGGTGTGGATAATAGGTGTAAGACACGCCTCCCCATCAGTGCCCTTCATGTCGTTGAGGCAATGGTCTTTGCGGTGCAAGCAATTAACGACGACGACAAGGTCCTTCCTAACGTCACATTGGGGTTCATGATCCACGATGACTGCTCCAGGGACGAGTACGCCATATGGGGATCGCTGGCGCTTCTCATGGGCGCCAAGGGAGTTACTGAAGGGGAAAGCTGCATGATTCCAGGCATGACCACTGACGTTGAGGTCAGGTCAGTTGTGGGGATAGTGGGGACCGGCAAGACTTCCTCCAGCGAGGTGGTTGCAAGCACATCAGGGCTGTTTGAAAGGCCCCTGGTGTCCTACGGCGCGACGGGCCAAAAGCTGCTGGAGGAAAATGCTTTCTTGTACTACTTCAGCACCATTTCATCCGATCAGTATAAAGTTACGGCCATCCTTGATCTGCTGGACTTGTTCGAGTGGCAATATGTGGCTTTAGTATACGCAGCAGACTACGACATGCTGAACATGATGGGGGAACTACAGATAGCTGCAAATAGACGGCGTGTGTGCGTGCACGTACAAGCGATGGTTAGTGAAGCTCCAACAGAAAAAGAATTGCACAAAATGGTCAAACTGTTGCAAAATAACACCTATGCGAAGGTGGTTGTGTTGTTAGCTCAATCGGCCGTGACAGCAAATGCAGTGTTTTCGGCTGCTATGAAGGCAGACCCACCGGTGAACCTTACATGGGTTGTAGGTAATTCGCTGGCGAACCAGGACGTCCTAGAGGAGGATCTTGCGCGGGGTAATCTCTTTGTCGAGTACGGTACCCCGGAATTGAACGAATTCGAGCAATACTTCCGTTCCATGATGGGCAGTAAAAGAGCAAACGCAGACAACCCATGGTTTGACGAGTTCTGTGGTGATTTGGACAGATGCCTCTCTTTCAGTGCAGAAGGATTCAGTAAGGCGATACCCACTTTGTCTGCCACCATAGACGCAGTTTATGCTCTGGCGTTTACTTTGGATGAGGTAATCCGCCGGTTGAACTGCACTGGCACGGTAGCAAATTGTCTTGCAAGTCAAGGCGCCAATACTCTTTTTACTGGCATGTTGCACAATGTATCTTTTCGAGGAACGAGAGGAGATTTTAAATTCACCGAGTATGTAAGGTCAGTACCGGGTCATTTCATAATCAGAAATATGCAAGAAATTGACGGTGCGTCTAAGATGGTTGAAATTGGTTCTTGGAACTCTCTTTCCCCATCGCATGAGTCTGGGAATGAAACACGACTAACTGTCTATAAATCTTTGATTCAGTGGAACGGACATTCTGGAGGTGAGACGCCTAGATCCGTTTGTAGGGATGACTGTGCACCAGGGCAGGTCGAAGAACCACTGAAGAAGAAGTGTTGCTTGGGGTGTCGGGAATGCAAGGCCGATGAAATCGTCAAAAGATCCACCTGTGTTCAGTGCCGCGAAATGGAGTGGCCCAATGACAACCAAACTGAATGTCTGGCTCTGGTCCCCAAAACTGTGACCTTGGGAGAACCGCTGGTGATCCTGCTGTTCCTTTTCGCGTGTCTCGGGTTGGTTCTATGCCTGCTGACCGCATCAGGCATGGTCCGATACCGCCAACATTCCTTAATCAAGGCCACTAGTCGAGAGCTGAGCTGCGTCAATATCCTGGGTCTTGTCATGGGGTACTTGGCCGTGTTCCCACTACTTCAGTCCCCGAAACCTCTCACCTGCGCTGCAGCACAGGCCCTGTACGTCCTAGCATTCACATTGATGTATGGCTCTCTCCTTTTGAAGGTGAATCGTATTTACAGGATCTTTGAAAGTAGCATCAATTCTGCCAAATCTCCCAGATTCACAGGACCCCGAGCCCAGCTGATGATTGCAGCCGTGCTGGTTGTCATTCAGGTTAGTGAAAAAAATTATACTTTTTACATTTCTTGATTTCATTTTATTTGTCACACAAATTGTAAAGCAACACTTGTACTAACAGCTGACAGTTTAGACGATAATAAGTTTTGACACAAATTTGACACCAAATGCACGTTCGTACATGTATCCCGTCGACTCTTCAACTGTATAAAAAGAGACAACCTCCAGTCAAAGTGTGCTGTTTTAACACAGTGACATTAAAATTTGTCCTTGACAGTTTGGGGGTTGTGGCTGTGAAACTGTATTGAAGTCCATCATTAATGCTGTTAATGGAAATCTATGACGTATTTCCTTCCGCTGATCATACATTTGAACGAGAAATCAACGCTCCTCTAAAGTACTTCGCCACGGTGCGTCCGTTCTGTCAAAAAATCTTTTCATAAAACAAAATTTAAAATGCTTTTCAGTAATATTTCTGTTCCAAACCACCAAAGGGTCACACTTCGCTGAACACTGGTGTCTTTAAAATGCTCTGACAAATTGGAGTTGTGACACTTCCATGTTGACCAAGATAGGTTAAACCTTGCTGAGAATATTTGAGGTGAGATATTGTACTGCAGAAACACTGAAAGTTCAACCGTTCAGATTGTCATTCAGTCTTTGTATTACAATCATGACTACATATTTTATGTAAAGAATTCATACGAATATAGCAGGTTAAATTGTGTGAAGCTTTGCGTGAATTATATGGAAGGATTCGTCAGTGCTTTCCCGTTCTAGACAGTATAGCTAAATAAATGATTGCTATTCACTTTGTTAATTTTCCAATAAAATTGGTGACTCGCAAAACTAGCTAAAGAAGTTCGTAAGTTTGTAGTTTGTCCGATTTGGATTCCATTTGGATTGAACCACGAAGACCATCGAAGCAGATCGGATTAGGCGAAGCCGTCGGATTTCGATCAGAATAGGTTTTTGGCCTGGAGCTGTGGGATCGGACTGACGTCACATCCGATGCATTCAACAAACATATTTGCACAAGCAGTTTATTTGCTTTCAGTACCTTCAGAGTCAAGTCCAGTGGCTCCCCCCATTTCTGATTACGTCACTGTGTTTCCTACAAAATGCTGCTAAATGTATGGTTGGCCGTTGGAACAAAAGTGGAAGAATAATTCCCGTTAAAACACACAACGTATAGTGCCTGAACTAGCCATAGAGCCATGTACAAAAAGAGCCAATGATTTGAGACATGAAACTAGAGTTTTTTAATGCTCCCTACCCCTCCCCCGATACCCCTTTCTTAAACTTCCGTGTTATCCTGTTTGAAAACAGCGGAGATATGTCATGAATATGGTGGTTTCCCTTTCCTGCAGTGAGCACCAACGTCAGGAAACCATGTATTGCTCAAGAGGACGACGTCATGCCGGTCGACTTTGTCGAGATGTATGGCACTAGCTTGAACGTGATCAGTCACGCAATGAATTGCCACAGAGATAAAATATTCCGTCTTTTGAAATCAAAAACTAATTTCGTCCTAGCCTTGCCTTGCCATGTCTGGCAAATCAACAAGCATCTCATGCACAAATGAAGGTCAACAGATGGCACGAACCTTATAATCGCATTTTCAAATGAAGATTAACGTCTTTAACGGCTCGGCCTTCAGTGTAAATGATATTTTATGCTTTAATGTGTTTTCCTAATGGTGGGGAGGAAATGAGGATTTAATTGCGTCCTCCACCGAGAGCAAAAATAATATCGCCATAGTGAAAAGTGTCCATGGCTTCTGGGAACATGTATGTCGAAAATTGCCTCATTTGCTTTCATACCATGAAGCAAATGCACATCAAAGGATATGGTAGACTGGAACCTCCCCACACACACCCACACACTGCTTGAGAAATAATGGGTGATATTTCAACGTGGCAATTTCAATGGCTTTTTTCGATTGAAACAGAAACTATTTTAGTGTAAAGACGACAACTGAAGTGTAGCACGTGTCACTGCCTATAACACAACTACAGAGCTTACTGCCATTTTACTGTTTGTCCTTCTATGAATCACTCTCTCCCGCCAGTGCAGCGCGGGATCACCATCGTTGGCTCGCAGGCTGGCTTCATGCTTCACCTATTTCTTTTGTCTTTACTGTCTCCATTCTTTGCTGGTAAATGTGTGCATTCTGTAGCACCTTGAAATACTAAACATCATATTTCCAATGCTTGTCAAATGTTATTGTGTTGCTTTGCCGTTAATGAGTTCATTCGATAGCCGCATGACATCAATTAAATGTGAGAATTTATATTCTGCCCGCAGAAAAAAATGAACTGAACTAATAGCGAATAAGGGAAATTTGAAAAAAAAAAAACTTTATGTGTAAGGGCAGAGGTGAGGCTGCCCCGCCCTCGGATGTTAGATCTGAGGTGGTACCGTAAGGTTCATTCTGAAAGGTCATTTCCCCTTGGAGAAATGATTAAGGTATCCGCCATTGCCGCCGTTGACCATGTGCACCC